GTCTGTCTGAGGTTGAGGCGTGTTTCTTGTATGCAGCAGGAAGATGGATTCTGTTTTTGTATCCAATTTATTAGCCTGTGCCTTTTTATAAGTGAGTTGAGACCATTCATATTAATGGATATTAATGGCCAGTGATTGCTAATTCTTGTTATTTTTGTTTTTGTTGGTGGTGATGGCACTGGGTGTTCATCCCTTCTTTCGGATTTGCTGCTATAAGCTCATCTATTGTCTGTGTTCTTGTGGATATAGCTGATTCCTTGGGTTGGCATTTTCCTTCTAGTACTTTCTGTATGGCAGAGTTTGTGGATAGGTATTGTTTAAACCTGGTTTTATCATGAAATGTTTTCCTTTCTCTATCTCTAGTGATTGAAAGCTTTGCTGGATATAGTAGTCTGGGCTAGTACCCATGGTCCCTTAGTGTCTATATAATGTCTGTCCAGGAACTTCTAGCTTTCATTGTTTCCATTGAGAAGTTAGGTATAATTCTGATAGGTCTGCCTTTATATGTTACCTGGCCTTTTTACTTTGCAGCTCTTAATATTCTTTCTTTATTTTGTATGTTTATTGTTTTGATTATTATGAGGTGAGGGAACTTTTTTTTTTTTTTAATCCAGTCTATTTGGTGTTCTGTCAGTGGCAGTGACCACATCTCCAAGCCAGCAGCATGCTGCTTGATAGCAGCATAGACCAAGGCAGCGAGGACAGCTCTCAGTGCTGGTGGTAAATGTACCCCTGCCATCTTGGAAATACAGTGGCTAAAACAGCTACAGCTTTAATTTTAACAATGTTGTTTAGCAGATAAAAGATTGTGGCTAGAAAAAGGTAGAGATATTCAGTAAAGACAAATTCAAATGAAGTGAAACCCCTATAAGGTTTACAGTGTGTTTAAAAATACACATTGGCTTGTGAGAGAAATGAAACATGATAGTATTTTAAAAAGGGGGGGAGAAAAAGAAGAAGGAGAAGGAGGAGGAGGAGGAGAAAGAAGAGGAGGAGGAGAAGAAGAAGCCTTTAATCCCAGCTCTTGGGAGGAAAAAGCAAGCAGATCTTTGTGATTTCAAAGCCAGCCTGATGTACAGAGTGAATTCAAGGGCAGCCAAAGTTACACAGGGAAACCCTGTCTCAAAAAAAGAAAATAAAAGTAAGAGAAATAGAGTAATAATAAATAAATAATTCAAAAGCCATGTAAAGATAGAAAATACACAAAGTATCTTGATACTGTATGCTACTGTGTTGTCTCTCAATTGTTTGACTGCTGAGGAAATAGCAACAACTGCTAAAAAGAAATACTGCTGGATTAACCCAATTTACATATTTTGAAAATGCTTTGACTTCAAAATTTAAGTCTAAGGACAGGTTACTGAGGAAAAGAATTTCTACTTTTGTTTCCACAGAAAATGAAAAGCTGTGGATTCCTTCCAGACTAATATGGTTTGATGAAGCAAGACCCCCTGAAGCAATGGCCTAGTTGATTCAACTTCCCAGACGCCTGGGATGATGTAGCCTTGCAGAATACTACAACTAGGATTTGGTCCCCATGGTATTTCAGCGCCCCCAAACAGCAGGAAGCAGTTTGGAGAGAATACCACCCACATTCCCAAATATTGTTTATAAATGTTTGTTTTCATTTAAATGGGATTGGTTATAAATGGGCAATGATCACATTCAATCTCTTTTTAAGGGAAAAAGCAGAAATGATATAGAAATGAATACTTGCATTGGTATGGATTTTCATTTATTGATACAAATTTAAGGTCAATTTTGTTATATGTATATTTATCCTCTTGTTTAAGTATTGTTTATACAGATCTTTTAAAATGTAATGCATAATTATATACGGATTATCATCTATAGTCATCTATGATAGTCAAAACTTATAGTTAGGTCAATTAGGTTTTCTAGATATACAGAGATACATTTGAAATGGATAGATAGATAGTCTTTGAACCTTTCAAAGACCTTCAGAAAGTGGAATTTAAAATGGTCTAGAGTTTTTCATGACTATGAAACACAACTGCTCCTGGTAACAACAATTATGTCTGAGAGGAAGATGGGCATCGAAGAAACTTGTTATGGAGTTTGCTTTTGATATAGCAAGACTAGACATTTGGGTAAGAAACTGCTAAAGAGTGACCGCAAACCTTGCCTAGACTGTTTGGCTGTTGCTGCATAAACTGGACATGCAGGACCCACAGGAAAGTGACTGCTGAACTTATAAAACAAGATGGGCAGTCCAGAAGAGTTCCTACTTCATGAAAGTCTGCCAGACATTCTACAGGACACAGAAAAATGATTAACAAACTGCCAAAACAGGTGGACAGTTTATAATTTCCTCCTTCACGAGAAGTCAGCCATATACACTGTGGCCTATGGGCTGAAGATGGATGCCCCAACATTACAGAAGAACTTCAGGCAATTGTGCAGGTAGCAAATGTCTCTGTCAATTCTACCGTTTATATACTATCCTTCTGTGGTCTTTGATAGAGTTGAAGATAGATGATAGTTATGGTTATAGTTTTCCTTAGTTAAGATTAAAGATAAGTTATATATAAGACTTTAGACTCACAAAGATATGATAGATGATAGAATATTTTCTGTAATTCCTGATGTTAATAGACTAGATATTATAATTATAGTTCTTGCTTAATAACTGTTTTATTATATGTAATTTTACTATGTTAAAGTTAAAACCCTTTTTATTTAGAAAGAAAAGAGATGATGGGGAATGTTCTTCTGTAGATATGTCTGTCTTATTGATTGATGAATAAAACACTGATTGGCCAAGAAAAAAAACAAATTTGTAGGTAAACCAGACTTGGTGATGCACACCTTTTATCCCAATGATCAGAAGAAAATTGGATTTCTCTTGAGTTCCAAGTAGGCCTAGTTTACATAGTGAGTTTCAAGCCAGCCACAGATGCATAAACCCTGTCTCAAAAGAGAATTATACTATCATAACATGGGAACTTTGATAAGATATAAACTTTTGTTTTTGGTTTGATGACAAATATTTACTTCCACGTATCTATTCATTGTGAGCAACTGCACAAATAACATGGATATGTCACTTTGAGCATGAATATATGGAGGCCAGAGGTCAACCTTGGTGTCATTGCACAAGGGCTGCTCACATGGTTTTTGAGACATTGTCTCACCAGGACCTGGGCTTACCAACTAGGCTGCCCAGTTAGACAATAAACCATAGGGATCCTATCTCCTCCCCAGTGATTAAAGTCATGTTCCAGAAGCTAGGTGAAGTGACAATCTTTAATCCTAGCACTCACAAATCTGAAATATCCATATCTCTGCAAATTCAAGGTCGCCTTGGTCTACATAGTGAGTTCTAGGCTAGGGCTACAAAGTGAAAACCCTGTCTCAGAAAACAAAAATAACAACAAAGTAGTCTGCTAGGCCAGAACTTGTCTTTAACCTCAGCTCTTGGAATGGGGGGAAATGAGGGCAGGGGGTCACAGAGGCAGGCAGATCTCTGTGAATTAGAGGGCAGCCTTGTCTACATAGTAAATTCCAGGACAGTTAGAGCTACACAGAGAAAACCTGTATCAAAAGATAAATAGCTGAGCAGTGGTGGTGCAAAAGCGAGGCAGGCAGATCTTTGTGTTCAAGGCCAGTCTGGTCTACAGAGCTAGTTCCAGGACACCCAGGACTACACAGAAAAACCCTGTCTTCAGGGGGAAAAAATTACAACCTGATCACCAACCTTACTGCTTTTTATCAAGTGACCCATAGTTAGTTACAGTGGGAAGAAAATAAGAGGCAATATGAAAAGGCAACTGTTAGAGCTCAGGCAATCCAAATATTCAGAAATGAGCTTAAACTGAATTATAAGAGGATTTCCAGCAATTAGATAAAAGCCTGTTTTCCTTGACAACTTGTGAAACCAGTTCACATCTGCCAAAAGGAGTCATTTCCCTTACCTCGGGCAGAGGGACATATGGCTACCTGTGGTTTCATATCAAAGCCCATTCCAGCCTCCAAGCTTACTCAATCCCTACTCACACGTACTAGTAATGTTTCAAAGTCCACACTAGCATCCTGGCCCTTCTCATCTCAAATTCCTGCTCTCTTTTAAGTTCCCTGCCCCTGGCTACACTTGCTATCCTCACTATTCCCTTTCTGGCTAGTCTCTTTTCTCTCACAGGTAATCCTGGCCATATCCAGTCTCCTTTTCTTACTCACTGCTCTGGACTCTTCCAGATAGATGCCTCTGAATACTTTCTCTTATTCACAATAAAATCCTTCCCTAATAACAGAGCGGTCACATCAGCAATTTCTTTATTGCACCACCTTGCATATAGCAACTAAATCTAAAGTTACACTGCTTTCTTAAAAAATAATCTTGGGTACTCTCAGAAAATAAGAGCACATACTGTGGGGGTTAGAGAGATGGCTCAGCAGATAAGAGCAATGGGTGTTCTTCCATTCAATTCCCAGGACCCAGATGGCAACTCACATTGTCTGTAACTTCAGTCCCAGGAGGGATCCAAAGCCCTCTTCTGGCCTCCACAGACTCCAGGCACACACATGGTACATAAACATCCATAGTCATAAAATAAATGAATAAATTTAGAGGAAAAAAGGGGGATACATATTGTTCTTCCTAAGGACTTGAATTAGTTCCTAGCACCCACATTAGGTAGCTCACAATCACTTTTAATTCTAGCTCCAGGGAGATCTGAAACTTCTGACCTCTGCAAGTACCTGCATTCACATGCACAGACATACACATACACATACACACAACTAAAAATAGTAAAATAAGGTCTGAAAGCTCGCTTAGTGGTGAAGAGAACTTGCTGATCTTCCAGAAGGCCTAAGTTTGGTTCCCAGCACTCACATTGGGAATTTCCAATTTTAAGAAGAGCATTTCTTAGTCCAATGTCAGGGAAGGGAAAGAGGACTATGAGGCCTGCAGCCAGTAAACCAGTTGTGTCCTGAGATTTTGTTAGACAAACAGAACAAGAAAACTCAAAACACCTTACCTTCACCAGCACATAATCCCCAGGCTGAGCTCTGACCTTGAGCCCACAGTTAGTGACATCCTCCACCTCTGCATCAGGGAAGATCACCTTAAGGTTTGCATCATTCCGGCCACACAGGTCTACAGAAGAACGTTTGCTGACCTGCAGAAAACAAAGAGAATACATGCATCTGTCAGTTTTAGGAGGCAGACATTGCTCCTGTTGTCTGAGGCTCTCCTGGGTCTATCACACAGAATTTCTTTTCTTTTCTTTAATTAATTTATTTATGTATCCCTGCAGGCCAGAAGAGGGCACCAGAAGCCAGGCAGTGGTGGTGCACGCCTTTGATCCCAGCACTTGGGAGGCAGAGGCAGACAGATCTCTGTGAGTTCGAGACCAGCCTGGTCTACAAGAGATAGTTCCAGGACAGGTTCCAAAGTCACAGAGAAACACTGTCTCAAAAAACCAAAAAAAAAAAAAAAGGCACCAGATCTCATTAAAGATGGTTGTGAGCCACCATGTGGTTGCAGGGAACCGAACTCAGGACCTTTGGAAGAGCAACCAGTGCTCTTAACCACTAGGCCATTTCTCCAGCCCCACAGAGCATTTCTTAACCAAGAAATCCAAAGTCTCACTTCGTATGGCTAACTCAACAATAGGACTGTACGTGGTGCACAGCAGAAAGTTCTGTTGACTATTTGAATGAATCGGTGAACCTTTACAGGAGTACTTAGAGAAACTCTCTCTTGAAAAAAAAAAGAAAAGAAAATTCAAAACACCAACAAGAAAATAAACCAGAACCATTGAATTCAGCAAGGGCATAAAATGCAAAAAGTAACACATTTTGGACTAGGGATTGATTGTATAGTGTTTGTCTAGCATACAGGAGGCCCTGGACTTGATAAACCACCACATTACCTGGGCATGATGGTGCACTCCTGTAACCCAGTGCTTAGGAAGATATAGGCAGGAGGACCAGAAATTCAAGGTCACCCTTAGCTACATAGCAAGTTTAAGGTCAACCTAGGTAAGCTACATGAGACCAGGTCTCAAAAAGAAAAAAAAAAAAAAAATAAGACCTAGATAAAAAAAAAAACACATAGTGTTATTCCAAAATGCAAAAACTAAAATTAAAAAATATATATGCATGTGAACTTACCCCCTCAACCAATACCAGCTGGGTACAACCCACTGAGGCCTCATTGGCTCTTGACGCCTCTTCTCTGAAGACAGTAATAAGTTCCTCCAAACGCCTTAATTTTACTTCTTCTGGAACATCATCCTTCAGCCTATGATATGCTCGTGTTTTCTATTAAAAAACAAAACAGAACAGAGGCCACACCCCTACAAACAGGCACACACAAAATAAATAAGTTTACAAATAAATACATTTTAAGAAGAAAATCACAGACTCAGGCCGGATATTGGTGGCGCTCGCCTGTAATCTCAGAGTCAGGCAGATCTCTGTGAATTCAAGGCCAGCCTCGATCTACAGAGTAAGTTTCAGGACAGGCTCCAAAGCAATACAGAGAAACCCTGTCTCAGAAAACCATTAAAAAACAAAAAAGAGAAAGAAAATCACAGACTCAAAGTTAGTCTTCATATTAGTCCTAAGTTTAGATTTGGACACAAACTAAAGCATACACTAAGCTACTCATCAGCACTGTTTATAGAGATAGAGATATAAAGCAGCCTAAATATCAACTAGTATCTAATAAATTATGTTTATTAAACACAATGGAGTATTGAACAATTATTAATAAGATAGCACCACAAATACTAATGTAATTGTTCCAAAATACTCTGCAAACTGAAATTAGCAAAACCCAATCAACATGCCTGTCTTTGGTATAAAAGGGAACTAAACCTGGGAGCAACAAAAGGAAGAAGTGTTTTAACCTTCACACTTTATTCCATAAGTACATATTACCTAGTCAGAAACAATAATTACCCTCGAAGAGTGTCAAAAAACTACCCTGGGTATACACTTATATATGTCTTTATTCTCATGCTCAAATCAGGTGGAGAACACCGCTGAGCTAGTAAAAAGTCAAGGAATACAAGGAAAAGCAAAACACCAGTGTCTGGAAATTCAAACCAATCAATCCTGAAAGAACTACCATATCCACAGAGGAAAACAGAATGGGGAATGGGTATAAGATCCTACTTGATGTCAGCATATTGTTAGTAATGATAACCATCCTGATGGCACAGTTACTGTGTAGGAAGCACCACTCTAAGTGTGTTATGTGCAACATCTTATTGAAGCCTCAAAACACCACTGAGCTGGTATTGCTATTCCCACTTCATGAAGCAACTAAGGACTTTAGACAAGGTCACTGTTACTACATGACAAAGTCCCAATTTGAGTGCCATACTTCCACTGTGTATTGAAAGGCCACTTCCCAAGTAGATCGGTCTTATAAATAATTTCTCTTGTGCCTCTGTGATGTCCATGAAAAAGAGGCGATATGGAATGTAACAGGCCATGGGAAGTCTCATTTCTGAAATAATTTTTGTAAAAGAAACTGGCCCACTTACACTGACTACAGAACACTGAGCACTGGGCTTCAGTTTTGTCTTGATTTACTTATTTCTTTTTTTGTTTTGTTTTTAAGACGATTTCAGTCTGTAGTGACGCCTGTTTCAAACTTAAGATTCCCCTGCCTCAGCCTCCTAAATTCTGGGATTACAGATATAGATCATCAAACCCAGCTACTGCAAAATATTTCACCAATAGGAATGCTAGCATAATTTTTTTTTAAGTTTTATGTATTTATTATGTATGCAGTGTTCTGTCTGCAGCCAGAAGAGGGCACCACATCGCATTACAAATGGGTTGTGAGCCATCATGTGGTTGCTGGGAATTGAACTCAGGACTTCTGGAAGAGCAGCCAGTGCTCTTAACCTCTGAGCCATCTCTCTAGTCCCAATCTTTTTGGGTTTTGTTTGTTTTTTCGAGACAGTGTTTCTCTGTGTATCTTTGGCTGTCCTAGAACTCACTCTGTAGACCAGGCTGGCCTCAAACTCATATAGATTGGCCTGCCTCTGCCTCCTGAGATCAAAGGCATGCACCACCACCACAGCCCAGCCTAGCATGGTAATTTTTTCATATCAATTTGCTGAAGTTTGTTGGTTGTAGTGGCTAACACCTATAATGCTAATGATCAGGCAGCTAAGTGAAGAAGGAAAATAGGCTTGAGGCCAGCCAGAGCTTTATAGTAGGACCTTATCTCATATAATATACAAAAGTTAACTAGAGAAAACAATTTGTCAGTAAGATCCTGTGACATAGCTTGGTGTGGTGACACACACCTTTAACTCTAGCAATCAGGAGCAGAACCAGATAGATCTCTAGGAGTTCAAGGCCAGACTGGTTCTGAGACCCTGCCTCAAAACAAACAACAACAAAAGATCCTGAGATTTTATGAGGCCAAACTCTTTCTACCCAACTACCTCAAATCAGTCCCAAGCTGGTAAGAGAATGATGCTAATTGTCTCCCATTCAGGATTTACCTGCCTCATGCTGTATGCAAAGAGAAAACCAGCATTATACTGAACTTCTCGAAGTAAAGACACTGTCTGCAGGTGATCATCCTCTGTCTCTCCACAGAAGCCAGTGATGAAGTCACTGCTGAGGCTTACACCTGTCAATATTCAACAAAGAACCAGAGCTTAGAGGACGGCTACTGTTGACCTCAGAAGGAGTGTGGGCACTTACAGATTGGAGAAGGAAGGCAAGCAGATGGGACACATTTCCAGACTGCTCAGAAGTCATTACAAAGCAAAGGGAAAAAGGCTTGTTTTTCTACATCATGCCAGAACTGGCTCCTCAGTCCTTAAGCACTAGAAAATAAATCTTGGCTTCAAATGCTGGATTCAAAGATACTACAGAAATGCAGTCCTGCTTTTGCAGGGAAAGGGTGAGAGACAGTGCTAAAGACTGAACCCAGAGCCTTGTATATGCTGGACAAGCACTCTACCACTAATATTCCAGCTCCCAAGTCCACTTTTACTAGTCAATCTTTCGGTGCTTCACACAAACATACACATCTATGTATCTGGTTTTGTTGCTTTTGTTTAGAGATAGGGAATTGTTTTCTACTGTGCTAGGGACAGAACCCATTGAACACTCTACCTCCAAGCTAGACTATACCTATGTATTTTAATTAATTCATAATAACAGTGTATATGTATATATGATCAAACATTGAATTTAATTTAGCATCATGTTCATTTACAATGCAGTATCAAAAACTACCAGATACTGAATACTTAGAAAGTATTGTATGAGAAGGAGGGAGAAGGAACTGGGATCACTATGTAAGATAAAAATAAAAAAAATAAATTAATAAAAAAAAGAAAGAAAGAAAGTACTATATGGTCAGGCAGTGGTAGCACATGTCTTTAATCCCATCATTTGGGAGGCAAAGAGAGGCAGATCTCTTGAGTTTGAGGCCAGCCTGCTCTACAAAGTTAGCTCCAGGACAGCTAAGACTATTACAGAGAGAAACCCTGTCTCAAAAAAAAAAAAAGTGCTACATGTCACTAGCTATTCAAATGCCCCCAAAATTAGATGACATGAGCACTATTTACTCCATTTTATAAATGACAAATCTTTGTTGTCACATAACCACTAACACAGTACTGGATTCAAAACTCAGTATTATCCAGCTGCCATATCATCCTACCCCATCAAAACAAAATACATAATACAAGAAGCACAGTAGCACACACTTTTAGTCTCAGTCCTCAGGAGACAGAGGCAGGGTGGGTCTCTGTGAGTTCAAGGCCAACCTAGTCTAGTAAGCTCTAGGCTCAAAAATAAAATGAGGGATATTTCAGATATTCTCAATCAAATCTAAGTAAAATAAAACAAAAACAGTAATTTTATTAGGAGAAAGGGTAGAAAGAGGTATAATGGGTCTAAAATCTGCCTAATTATAGTAGAATACATGATAGTGCATGTTTATAATCCCAGCAACAGCAATGAAGATGGAAGACCAAGTTCAAGGCCACCCTGAGCAACATAACAAGACATTGTCAAAATTCAAGTACTAGAGATGCAGTTCAGTGGCAGAGCATATGCTCATAAGACATGAGGCTTGGATTTAATCTCTTGCAATATACATAGTCAGAAAGATGGAAAAGAAAGTAGAACAGGGAGAGGAAAATAGAGAAGCAGAAAATGAACATAAAAATAGCAAAAACTATGAAATGACATCATAAAGAATTTGCCAAAGAGTCTGGTAATTGAGCAAGATGAATGTGGACTGTGGTAATGTGCTCAGCATTTCTTAATGTACCTGGGATACATTCTCTGATATGATGAACCAATGCCACATAAGCTTCCCTTGAATATCTGTGGTAAAGAACAAAAAGAAAAGACCTAGTTGAAGGAGGAAAGTTATGATAAGGTGTCATGTAGCTGAAGTTACCCTTAAATTTCTGTTCCACCTGGCTCTACCTCCCAAGTGCTGGGCTCATGGGGGTACACCACTATACCTGACTCAATCTTATTTAAATGAGCACTATAGAAAGATAATACTAAGAATTCCCATGTATATTCATTTTTCGACTTGTGATTTCACAGCCAAAAATCACAATAGAGGAGTACATGAAAGCACCCCTTTGAGCCAGTGAGATATTCCAGCTAGTAGATACTTGCTACCAAACCTGATGACTTAAGTTCAACCCCTGGAACCTACATGGTAGAAGAATAAAATCAACTCCTAACAACTGTCCTCTCATCTACATATACACTGTATGTTCTGGATCCTAAGGACTTTTCATTGAATAAATCAAGGAAAAATTAAACACTTAAGAGGACCTCTAGGGGCTGGAGAGATGGCTCAATGGTTAAGAGAACAGCTGCTCCTGCAGAGGGCCCTGATTCTGTTCCTCACATCCACATGGCAGCTCACAACCATCTGCCACTCCTGTTGCAGGGGATCTGATGCCCTCTTCTGGTCTCCACGAACACTGCATGCACATGGTGCAGACTTAACATGCAGGCAAAACACACATACAAAAAAAAAAAAAAAAAAAGAGGATCCCTCAATCTTTGCCTCTGTGAAAAATAAGGCCAAGTTCTAGTTCTGTGAACTTTGTCTTAGATCATATTACTCCCCAGTCTCACCTCTGCAAATTTATTTCCAAAGTGAGTCAAGTGATCTACATTCATATCCTAAGACCTAAAAAAATTTATTATTCTTACAAGTTAAAAGACCAAAGTTTCAAATACGGCACTCAGCAGCACTTAGTTTAAAAAATGTTAAGCAAATGAGAGGCTCACTGCTTACTCTGCTTAGGGGATGCACAGAAGAAAGTTCAACTGTCCACAGATACATTCAAACAACAATCACTTATTAATTTGTTACTGTGTGAGGTATACTATTCTAGGTCCTTAACAATAAATGCAGTGCTTAGTGATTCAGAAAAACTGGAATGGTAAAGGATGTCCTCTCTCCTGCGTTGTACACTATACTAGGTCCTTAGCAACAAATTCAGTGTTTAGTAATTCAGCAAAACTGGAACGGTTAAGGATGCTCTCCCAAAGTATGTCTGACCCTCTCCGCATGGCATCCAGTACACGGTTGCTTCCACTCTGGGCTGGCAGATGGATCTGCTTACAGATGTTGTGTCTCTCATGAATCAGCTGTAGAACCTGGTTAAATGGAACACATTATGGGTTACCTAAGTCTCACCAAAGAATCATGTAAAAAGAATACCCTATACATTCTGAAAGGGTGTAGACGAAAGTTTCAGTCCTGCAGCCCTGTGGTCCCAAATAAACACACAGAGGCTTATATTAATTATAAACTGTTTGGCCTATTGCTCAGGCTTCTTACTAACAAACTCTTACAACTTAAATTAACCCAAAATTCTTATCTATGTTTAGCCACGCTCCTTGGTACCTTTTCTCAGTAAGGCATTCTCGTCTTGCTTCTTCTGCCTCTGGCTCTCAACTCACTCTCTGCCTTCCTCTTCCCAGAATTCTCCTAGTCCCATAGCCCTGCCTTAACTTCTGCCTGGCTACTGGCCAGCCAATCAGCATTTTATTAAACCAATACAGGTGACAAATCTTTACAGTGAACAAGAACATTATCCCACATCAGGAGGGGTTGCTGTTGTTTTGTTTACGACAAGATTTCATCATGTAGACCAGGCTGGTCCCTAACTCAGCAATCTGCCTGACCCTGACTCCTGGGTGCTAGAATTAAAGATGTGTAACGTAGTGCTTGGTAGTACACTCCTCTCATTGTTTCTCCTCAGAGGCTAATTTTCAAGTACTTTAAGGGTTGTTTGTGAACTAAGGACAAACTCAGTACAGTGACTACTTGGCATGCATGAGGCTCTGGATTCAATCCTCAGCACTGCATAAAACTAGGCATGATGGGGCAGATCTGTAAATCTCAGCACTTGGAGGAGAGGGAAAGAATCAGGAGTTCAAGCCTGAGACCTGTCTCAAAAAATAGAAAGAGCCAGGCAGTTGTGGCTCACACCTTTAACCCCAGCACTTGGGAGGCAGAGGTAGATATATCTCTGAGTTCAAGGCCAGCCTGGTCTACAAAGTGAGTTCCAGGACAGCCAGAACAACAAGAACAGCCAGGACTGTTACACAGAGAAGCCATCTCAAAAAAAAAAGACAGTCTTGCTAAGTTGCCCTTACTGGCCTGACAAATCATAATCCATCTATGTTAACCTCCCAAAGCTAGGACTATATGCATCACACACTGACCAAGAGCTGGGATCTGAACCCACGTGTGCCTCAGGCTACAGTCTGGGTTCTTTCCCACTATATCCATCACATTGCCTCTCTTGTGGTTCTCACTATATCTCCACCATGCAGCTGCCCACCTTGATAAACTTCTCACTACACAAGTAGTCCCAGGTTCCCACTGAAAACATCCTACTGCCTCACTGACCTTAGGGGACTTTAAATCTTGCCAAAAGGCCAGTAATTCTGCATTGTAACACAGAATCCCCAAAGCAGGATTCTAGGTCTCTGCTGTATACTACTGGGTCCAGGCAATAATATGCTTCAGAATGCTGATAAAGGTTTGTCACAACACTAAATATCAGCAATACTCACCTCATCAGGAAAATCCTTGGGGTGGGGAGAGGTGAAACGGATCCTCATTTCAGGGTCTATTCTTGAAACCTGATCCAGAAGATGGGAAAAACGAAGCCCCCCTTGTTTGGTTTTATAGTTGGTAGTAAAGCCACGGCTGAGGTTGGTAGACACTGCATTATTGAACTGGATCTCTGAATTGTCCTGAAAACTATTAACATTCTGACCAAGAAGTGTCACTTCTTTTAGCCCCTAAAAGCAGGAAAAACATGTTGAAAACAAGTTTAAACTTCTTGAACAGCTTCATCTCAAACCACTAATTAAAAATTAGCTCAATCTACAAAGAGCCATATAGGAACCTATCTTTATCTGATAATTTCACACTGGAGTACCTTATCTAAAGACTGAACAACAGAGTAAAACCTTGAGAGTGTACATGCCTGTAATCCCAACCCTCAGGAAGTAAAGGAAGGTTTCTGTTACCATCTCAATCCCTAAAACAGAGTATATCTATCCTAAAGGAGTTTTGTGCTGTAGGATAGCTTGAAATGAGGAGGGGGGGTGCCTTTAGTACTTAGGCAAATAAGAGAGATTTTACAAGCTACCAGTGATGGAACTATCTGTGGACAGGAGAGAGGTGGAAGAGACACCACAGGCTACAAATTAAGAAGGCTATCCTCAGCCTAGAAAGTTTGGATAACCTCACCTGCTCAGAGAGCTTCCTCACTTCGTCTAGAATGGAGGCAACTGGTCGACTCCTCTCCCGGCCACGAGTGAAAGGAACAATACAGTAACTGCACATGTTGTCACAGCCCCGCATGATTGATCTAGGGAAGAAAGTACCGGAACACAGTTAAGAGAGGAGCAGTGCCGTCTTAGCACGTCCCAGCTCTACAGCTCTCTTGAGATTTTTCTTTGGCTCTGGATCCTCCTGCCTCTGAACTCACACTGAACTAATGTGAAATCTGTAAGTATATAATCACAGAGTATGAACCAGACTGTAATTGGTAGACATGTTGGTGAGGAAGCACAGTGGTGAGGGGACTGTGGAGTTTCTACTGTTTGTATAAGTCTATTAGTTGGAACTTTTATGCAGAGATTAAAAACAAACTCTATGTCTATATTACAAAAGAGACCCTGAGACCGGGCAGTGGTGGCACACGCCTTTAATCCCAGCAATTGGGAGGTAGAGGCAGGTGGATCTCAGTGAGTTCCAGGTCAGCCAGGACTGTTATATAGAAAAACCATGTCTCAAAAAGCAAAACAAACAAACAAACAAACAAAATACCCTGATTTAAAATATAGTTTGTATTACTCATACAATATTTTTCTTTGAGACACAGTCTTCTGTGGGTCAGACTAGACTTAAACTTGTATGTAGCAAAAAACATGGATGAGGGTTTTGAACTCCTGATGCTCCTGCCCCCATCTCCAAGTGTTGTGTTGCATCATCATATTTGACTCCAGCTTTGGCTTTCTGACATGGGGTCTCTCCTTGGAGCTCTGAATTGCCTGGTACATGTTGTGGAGCCCAGACTGCTCTTGAATGCACTGCAAGTAATATTCTTGCCTCCTGCTCCCAACTGTTAGGATTATAGGTATAAGCCTCTTCCCAGCTGCTGTTTTCTATTTCTAAGACAAGGGCTTTCCAAATAACACAGATTAGCCTGGAGCAACAATAGAACCCAGAGTGACCACAAACTCACAACAATCCTGTTTTGGCCTCAGATTGTGAGCATATACTACAGCAGCTTTAAAAAAAGGAAAAAAAAAAAAGTTTTTCTACTAAAAAAGTCCAAGGTATTTCCTTAAGTGAAAATAAACACAGAATAATAATATTTATGTTTTAAAAGGAAGATAAGACCCAGCACTCGGGAGGCAGAGGCAGGCAGATCTCTGTGAGTTCAAGGCCAGCCTGGTCTACAGAGAAACTCTGTCCCGAAAAACCAAAGGGAGGGAGGAGAAGGCAAGGAAAGTATTCATATGAGTATATGACTGCACATACAAGGGATACTTCTAGAAGGATTAAATAAGAATGGCTGACATGGAAATCTGAGAAATGCCATGAAAAAGCAAGGATGATGGGTGTGAGGGAATCTTACTATATCACACGTTGGTTTCTGCATGTTGTACCTTAACTGTGCAAACACATTCCTTTCCCTTATGTCCAACATAATAAGATGACACATGCTCATCCCCCAGGTCTCACATGATGACTCACACAAAGGCAGAAGTGGCACTGGGGCTTGTCTGGACTGGCATGACATCCGCATAGGTCTCATCCAGAGAGAGAAGCACGTTTGCTGCCTGCTGACCGGACTCCACAACAGCCAGCAGCCGGGGAAGGTCTCGATAGGCATCTGGACCAGCCAAGAGATCCACCATTTTCTCCCTGTTGAGGATCTCTCCCTTTAGTCTCTCAGCCATGCAGCCTAGGAAAGAAAAGAAACTGTACCTCTTCTGCAGTTCATCTGTTTCCCTGGCTTTTGTTCAGTGCACATGACTTACAACTTGCATTGGAGACCAGGACACAGAACTTAGTATTACCCTCCAAACTGGACCCAACATCTTCAAATACAAGAAACCCACAGAACTATTCAGAGCAAATCAGTTAAGTGCCTGGAGTGTGCAAGGAGGTATCCAAAAGCCTTTCCCCATTTTTTTTGTCATTGCTGGAGATGGAAGTCAGAGTCTTTCACATACTAACCACGCACACCAAAAGTGAGCTGCATTCCCCGCCCCTCAAAAGCCTCTCAAACATGAAGTACCTCTTCTCACAGCTAAAAATTACTTACCACTAAGATAAAAGATATTTTGGCCAAGCATTGGTGGCACACACCTTTATTCCCAGCACTTGGGAGGCAGAGGCAGGTGGATCTCTGTGAGTTCAAGGCCAGCCTGGTCTACAAGAGCTAATTCTAGGGCACCTTCCAAAGCCACACAGAAACCTTGTCTCAAGAAAAAAAAAAAAAAAAAGATAAAAGATATTTTTACATCAGAAGTCTGTTCATGTTTACCACTATACTTAACTTTTTTCTCTTTCAGCCCACAATACTTGCTAAACCCATGAGAGATTATATATATAAATTATACTGATAAAATTTGTACCCCTGAACCATCATCTTATTAAGACTATAAAACCTTAAGACATAGCTTTTACAAACTCTTTGGAATGTTTAGTTGTTTGGGGTTTCCTTAAAGATTTTTTATTATTTTTGTTTATGTAAATGTATGCTTGTGTATGAGTATGTTCACATGAGTGCAGGTGCCTGTGGAATTCAGTAAAGGATGTTATCATTTATTTTAAAAAGATTTAAAAAAAAAAAAATTCAGGGGCTAGAGAGAGAGATGGTTCAGTGGTTAAGAACACGGGCTGCTCCTCCAGAGGATTCATTCCTAGCACTCACGTGTCAGCTCAAAACCATCTCTAACTCCAGTTCCAAGGAATCTGACACCTTTACACCAATGCACATTAAATAAAGTTAAATTTTTCTTTTAATTTTTGCAATTATTGGGGTGGGGTGCACATGAGTACAGGTACCTGCATGGTAAAGAAAAGGACACTGGATACCTAAGGGAACTGGAGTTTCAGGTGACTCAGACATGGGAACCAACTCAGGTCCTGTAAAAGAGCAGCATATGCTCTTAACCACTGAGCCATCTCTCCACCCTACCCACAGTGTAAGCTGTCACGCTCACCCAACCTAAGCTCACCTTGGATGAGTCTTAATTGAGGAATTGTCTAGATCTGCTGCTCTGTGGGCATGTCTGCAAGGATTGCCTTGATTGTTAATGGAGGTGGGAGGGTTCACCCTGGATGTGACATCATCATTTCACAGCCAAGGGCTGAATTGTGTAAGAGTAAAGTGAAGCTAGCTAGCTGAGCAGAAGCAAGCCAACAAGAAATGACATTTAGCTGGGCAGTGCTGGTGCACTCCTTTAATCCCAACACTCAGGACACAGAGGCAGGAGGATCTCTATGAGTTTCAGGCCAGCCTGGTATACAAAGTGAGAAAGCCAGGAAAGCCAGAGCTGTTACACAGAGAAACCCTGTCTCAAAAAAACCAAGAGAGAGAGAGAGATAAAGAAAGAGAAAAGAAATGATGTGTATATTCTCTCTATGCCTTGACTGTGGATGTCATGTGACTAGCTACTTGACTTCCTGCCTTCCTGCCTTGACTTGATTGGTATTGGTTTTTTTGAGGCGGGGTTTCTGTGTAACAATCCTGGCTATTCTAGAACTCACTCAGTAGACCAGGCTGGTCTCAAATTCATAGAAATCCAACTGCCTCTGCCTTCCAAGTGCTGGGATTAAAGGCATGCACCACCACCACCTGAGACATCTATTATTTCAAAGTGCTACAAAAAGCTCTTTTAGGAGCTTCATCTCATTTAATCTTGCAATCTCTAACACCAAGTAAAAGAGACTAACATCAAATAAAAGAGATGCATGGGGTAGATACAGCTAATTTATTTACACCCTGTGATCCAGGTCTCTAAAGCAGCAATTCTCAACCTGTGGTCACATATCAGATATCTTGCATATGGACACTTAGATTACAATTTGTAACAGTAGCAAAATTACAGTTATGAAGTAGCAACAAAAATAATTTTATGGTTGGGGGCCACAACATGAAGAACTGTACTGAAGGGTTGCAGAATTACAAAGGTTGAGAACCACTGCTCTAAAGGAAAAACTCTAGGAACCCAAGTCTCAAAATGGGAAAATCTGCAAATGAATGGATACCTAGAATCCCAATTCTCAGAGGTACCCGGGAACGTTGTCTCTTTGTCTTCAGAGCCTTCAGCTGATGTAAACGGTTCCAGATGGTCTGCTCAGCCTTCTCCCTGAAAAATCCAAAGAGACAAAAATGAGCAAGATAGGGGAGCAGGACAGCGGGGAGAAAATGAAAGCCATCTGAGTCCTTTCAAAGGCATCTATGTTGAATTCAGGGAAGGCACATGAAGGCAAACTGGGAAAGCACCACTTGCTGTCATCCTCTTCCCTCTAATAATATCCTCCCTACACATCTCAACCTCCAGACTAGCCTTTAAACAAAACCCAAAACTACATTCTTCACAAACCCTTCCCCAACTCCTCTGTGACTCTCCTCCCTTCAAGTATCCTCTACCTTAACTCTACTTCTCCTAAACTTGGAATTTTGTTTTTTGTTGTTTAACAAATTCTGTAGCCCAGGCTAGCCTAAAACACATCAAAATCACCCATATTTCTTGACTACCCAAGTACTGAGATTATAGGCATAAATCACCACCCCAGCTTGTATGATGTTTGCTTAATATTTTCCATCAGATGTTAGTAGACTACTTTTTCACCTGCCTTAGTCCCCATGTGAGACCAAGTTCTTTGAAGCCTGGCTTTATGATAGAAGGTTCATTTCCAAATCTCTCATAACAGCCAGCTCAGTATCATTCCATAGGTCCCATTAAAAAATGTGTCAGATTAACAAGTTAATGTTAAAGGCAGCTGTGGAAATAGTAACATTAACATGCCTTCAACAGCAACAAAGAAAAAAAAGTGTGTTCACTTTTTTTTTAATTCATTTTTAAAATTTGTTATGTGTATGGGTATTTTGCCTACATGTATATGCACCCACCACCCATGTACCTGGCACCTACAGAAGGATCTGATCTCCTAGAACCAGAACTACAGATGTTTGTGAGCTGCCATGTGGGTGCTGGGGATTGAGCCTGAGTCTTCCAGAAGAGCAGCCAGTGCTCCTAACTGCTGAACCATCCCTCCGGTCTATCACTTTTGATGAACTTCCTGTGATCAGGTACTTCTTGGCAAGCTCTGAAGATGGCACTCAATATTTTCAGAATTGTTTCCCAGCTATTGGCTACACTTCAAATCAGGGATATATGACTGATTGATAGATAGATGATAGATAGATAGATAGATAGATAGATAGATAGATAGTTAGATAGATAGATCATTAGAGCCAGGTGGTGGTGGCACATGCCTTTAACCCCAGCACTCAGGAGGCAGAGCCAAGTGAATCTATGAGTTCAAGGCCAGCATGGTCTACAGAGCCATTTCCAGGACAGCCAGGGCTATACAAGGAAACCCTATCTGGAAAAAAATAAAAAAACAGAACAAACAAACAAACAAACAAAAATGCCACTAGTAGCCAGAAAACTTTAGGAAATTTGGGACCTCAGCACTTTGGGTTTAAAAATTCTATATAATATACAGAGCTTACTTTGGGCATTTTTAATGACTATTGTTTGCTTTTTAGACAGTTTCTTTGTGTAGTCCAGGCTGGTCTAGAACTCACAATCCTCCCAACTTCTACAGTGCAGAGATTACAGGTGTGTACTACCATACCCAAACAAAATGGACTTGGTAAGAAGGGGAAAAAAAACTCACAGAATTGCTACTATGAGAATTAAACTAGTACATCTATGTATACTGTACACACGGAACCAAACACATAGGACATGCTCAGCACATGTCACTTGTATCAAGACTATCTCCATTACAAAAAAAAAAAAAAAAAAAAAAAAAAAAAACCTTAACTCTCAGTGACCTGGAGGCATTGGCTTAACTCCATAAGTAAGTCTCCTTGATATGATTGTACACAATATATTTACTCCCTATGAAAAGAACATATTTGTACCTGATAGAGCACGTGACAAGAAGGATCACATCGGCCTAATGGAGAACAAGAAAAAAAAACTTATAAACTTTGAAATTAGCCTTGCAGAATCACTCATACAGTCCACCTGCCTTTTTGCTATTATTATGGTAAAACACACATCTTATTTTAACCATTTTTAAAGATACAGTGCTATAATAAGAACACCTGAACACTATTGTGCAACCATCACCAACATCTCCTTCCAGAACTTTCCAGAGAAAGCTCTGTACCCATTATGCACTAACTTCTCAAGCCTCACATTCACTCCACAAGATATTTTTGTTTTGCTCTGGTTTGACTGGGTTGGGTTTGGCTGCTCTGGAGATATAGTCATGCCCTATAGTGAACATGGCCTCAAATTCTAGATCCTACTGCCTCTGCTTCCCAGGGCTGGGATTACAGACATAGTGACCACACCAAGTCTGATAACCCCTTTCCTGAAGATCAACAGCATCATGAAAGCTCAAAATAGCTGGAACACCAGCATACGCCAGTCCTACGGCACACGTCACTCAGAGGAACTAACTCAGCAGGCAACATCCTCTCCCCAAAAACTCACTGCATCTAAGAACCTGCATCAAGACAGGTAGCCCAGGCCCAGGATACAGAGAAACAGGGGGTTCAAGCACCTCTTGGAGGTTGCTGGTCCGCAGGTAGCCACTCTTCTGTAAAATGGACCAGGCTATCTCTGTGTCATTCACATTCATCTGGCAGCCATAGGTCTCGAGGTAGACTGCAATGAAAGGCAGATTGAGTAGGCAGAGGGCCACATGGGTCTTCAGCCTCCTTCCCAAAGCACTCAGAGACACCAAGGCAACTTGTTATCCACAAAGTCCCCTGCTGCCTTGACCCTAAAACACCATCAGCTGCCAATACCCCCAAATTAATAATAGCCTTTCAGAACAAAGGAAATACAACACCATATACACACACCTATTATAAACAGGGTGTTTAAAATATAGGGGAAATGTGCCTCTTAAACAAGGAAATAGAGCCTCAGACACAACTAGAACAGGAAGACTAATGATCATTTTTATCCTCCTGAGAAAGAACTAAATTCAAATCCCCATATTACAGTCCCCCCTCTAAACAAACAGGTTCTCTAACCTCTGGAAGCAGTAGCACTGACCAGAGGGTGCAACCACCACAGAATAAAAACGAAAGTAGGCATGGTCATATTATGAAGCAAAAATGCAAATTTATACCAAGTTCCAAAACATGAATCTCACACTTTGACAGACCCTTTCAAATCATATTTATAGTTATTACAAGCCCACACCACCAGCAGGCTATTATTCTAAGTAGAAGCCAGGCATAGTGAGTCATACCCCTAAAGCCAACACTTGGGAGGCCAAGGCAGGAATTAGAAGCCAGCATGAACTACATCATCCAGGCAAACATGGACTAAAAAAGACAGATTCTTTCTCAAAAAGAAAAACAAAGTAGGAAAAATCAGCTTTTCGTTATAAGCCAGGGTTTCACTATGCAGCTCTGGCTGGCCTAGAACTCATGATATAGACCAGGCTAGCCTTGCTCTGTCTCTGCCTGCCAAATGCTGAGATAAAAGGTGTTTACCACAGGCCTAACTAATTTCTTTTATATATTTTGGAAGGTGGAGGATACATATGCCATGGCACCAGTTTGGAGGTCAAAGGACAGTTTGTGGTAGTAAGTTCTCCCCTTTCACCATGTGGGTTCCAGGGATCAAACTCAGGTCATCAAACTTGGTGGCAAGCAACTTCTGAGTCATCTTGCCAGTCCCAAGAATAAAACTCTAAACCAGAAGTGACAGCAGACATCAGTAATTCCAGAAGAGGCTGAGGCAAGGGGATTATGAGTTTTAGACTAACCTGGGCTACACAGCAAGACCAGCTTCAAAAGGTAGGGGGCAGGGTTGAGCAAGATGGCTCAATGGTTAAAGCTTCTGCCACCAAGCCAGATGGCACATGGTGGAAGGAGACAACCAACTCTCACAAGCTCACAAGCTGTCCTCTGACCTCCACATGTGCCTCACACACAAACACATAAATGAAATTTTAAAAATTATAATCAGAACACAGATTTTAGTGTTTCCAAAAGCAACCAAAGAGGGGACTCCAATTCCTGTGTGCATAGCTTTGAGTTCTAGTTTCTCTTTTGAGTTAAAGGTGGAGTACAGAGCTATCATACACACTAAGCAATCACTGCACCACACAACTCCTCCCCTGCCTCCTGCCCAGCCTTTTCTTTTCAGTAAAGAGCCTGATGATTCTGTAACTGAGCAGCAACCTGCCCACACTGGCAACTCCCTACAGCCAGTGTATTAGAACAGCCACAGAGGCTGCAACGGGACAAGGAGGGAAGCCAAAGGGAAGGGGAAGTAAAAGCAACCTTTCCTCTGCCGTCCTAGAAGTTCATCCCCTGTGAGGTAGGGGGGTGGGTCCTCCACTTCTGGAGAAGATGGTTTCTGTTGAAGATCTGAAGCGTTTCTTAAAAAATGCTGAAAAGTTGGTCCGGCGGCTAGCCTGGAGCTGAAATCCCTCTGAACACCTTCTGAGCTCTGTCCCTCTGGACTAAGACATGAAGTGCTAGAGACACTGCAATGTGCCCTGCAGGTCCTGAGCAGTAGGCAGGACACAGAGCTCAGTGGCCCCCACTTTAGAGACCTCGGTGCTTGAAGGACACGTCGTAAAGGGTGCATGGCACCTGCAGTCCTAAATCTGCAAAAGAGTGAGACACACCAATATTAGCTGCACACTCTACACAGGTTCCTCCTCAAAAGCAGAAGAGAGTATGCTTTGGAGGCGGGAGTCACAAGAGGTGTTGAGACAATCTTATTACTGTCCTGAGCTGGCCTGGAACACACTATGTAGTCCAGGCTGGGGGGCGAGGAGGCGGGACTAGGCTTTGTTCATTCTTTTTTGTTTTTGGAGATATTGCTATATAGTCCGGACCGACCTCAAACTCTCCTCATTCCTCCTGCCTCAGTCTTCCAAGCACTAGAATCACCTGCACAGACCACCATATCCAGTTCAAAGGTACTCTTGATAGTTTACCTTAACCTAAGCATGGTAAAGCTGCAGTCTCGGTGACGTGGGAGACTAAGGCAGGAAGATCATTTGAGCCTAGGGATTCTAGGCCTGCCTGGACAACCTAGCAAGTTCTCTAAAAATTTAGTCTTTCATGCTGGGCGTGGTAATACACGCCTTTAATCCCAGCATTTTCGAGGCAGAGGCCAGCCTGGTCAACAAAATGAGTTCTAAAACAGCCAAGGCTTCACAGACTTTAAAACCTAACTTGGACAAGATGGCTCAGTGGGTAAAAATGCCCGCGGCTCAAGTCTGAAAACCTCAGTTAGAGCTCCTGAACCCACCGTGAATGGAAAGAACTAACGGTGGGAGGCTCATCACACGCTGTGCCCACACTCACATAATACTTCTAAAGAGGTGGGGGGGGGGTGCCCAAAGAGGCATACTAAGACTTCAGCAACCATTCATTCGCAGCCCGGCAAGCCCGAGATCTGGGAGCCTTCTTATGAGCTTTGGGATGGGGCAGCGATCCTCTCTGTTGAACCTGGTGGGGGCATCAAATGCAAGCTTAAAGGTCTGCACAGCACAGTGCAGGGCGGAGCTCATAATGTCAGTGGAGGGGGCGGAACCGCCTGCCACATCCAAGCACGTGATTGGGTAGATAATGGCGCTAGGAGTGGCAGGGGATGTGCGTGCACGCCCACGTGAACCCCCACAGCCACCCAGCAAGGCCGATCCGGCCTCATCTCTGCTTCCCAAGGGGAGACGCTAGGGCTCGGAAGGACCCGGTGACTTGGCCAAGGACATACAGAAGTAGACAACGGGACTGAGCTACATTCGCAGCGATCTCTCTCAAGGCCTCACGCCGCCCAATGATACCTTCCCCTGGTGCCCCTGAATTTTCCTGGACGCTGCTAGCCCGCCCATGCCACCGCAGGTCACCGGCGGTCCCTCTCAAGCCTCTCACCTCCCACAACTGCGAGATCCCGCGTCCGAACCGGAAGCTCTGGCAGCTGGTGGGTGTCGCTCTCAGGCGTCCTCCGCCACGCGCCCAAGGTGTGCAACTTCTGTTCCGCCGTGACTTCCGCCAGCGGTGTTCTAACGGAAGTGTTTCCTACCGGGCTGGGAGACTCAAGCGACGGACTCAGAAAATATTTGGGTGTGAAACCAGGTCTTTATATGCTAGCCAAATATTTTTAAATAAAGCTTAAAAACCAGGTTGGGCCGAGGGGTGGTGGCGCACGTCTTAATTTCAGCACTCGAGAGGCAGGAGCAGGTGGACCTCCTGAGTTCGAGGATAGCCAGAGGATGCCGGGAGAAACCCTGTCTCGAAAAACAAGCAGGTTGGGCACGTAGGCAGCCTCAGTCTGTATCTGCCCTGATTCCAAGAAAATGAGGGGTTCTTAGGAGTGTTCTGCCCCTGGAAAGCAGGGACTACCTTATCACCCGTCTGTCACATGCACGCTCTTTTCCTCCCTGTACCACGCCCTTTAAGAAAAGTCACATGGGACTGGTACGATGGCTCAGACAATTGCTGCCAAGCCTGAGGACCTGAGTTCGAACCCCAGAACCTACGAGGTGAAATAAAATTGATTCCTGCAAGTCCTCTAACCTCCACACATAATGCCATAGGACATACAACTCTTTCCCCAACACACACACACACAAACCATCTCCTGGCGAGGTAGCACACTGGTAATTCCAACACTCAGGAAGCAGAGCCTGACAACCTGAGTTCGAATTCCCAGAATCCACAAAGTGAAAGGAAAGAATTGACCCCCCCCCAAGTCCTCTGACCTCCACAGATAGTCATAGGATATGCAACCCCAAACCCCCCACTCCCCACCGCCAAACAGAGACACAGATACACACATATTAAATGTCTTCTGGCCCAGTAGCATACTTCAGTGATCCCAACACTCAGGAGGCAGAGGCTGGTCTTCATAAATTCAAGGCCAGACAGAGCTATATACAAGACTCAGTCTCATAGTAAGTTAAGTAAATAAATGTAAACGAAATTAAAGAGACTAAACAGTGGTTTCTGTGGCTCCCTCTGAACTGCCTCACCTTTCCTCAATGTCCCAAATGGCCTTGGACAGCTCAGTTATTTCCCACCACCTCTTTGCCCTATTCCTGTCACATGCTTGGGCCTTGAGGCTCTCAGTCACTCTTCCCTTCCCAGTGGGTCATGCCTCTAGCCACGGTGCCTCTTCTTCCCTAGACCTAACCTATAGAGAGCAGGAGGATTCAGACAGACCAGGGCCCTGAGGTCAGAACCACCCTGTGTAGCATAGGTGTTTTGCAAGCCCCATCATACACCTAGTTTTAAAGTGTAAACATTTGGTTGAAGCACAAATTCTAAGTGGACAGTTCAATTCCACAGAGGAGAGGCGCCCCCTCCCGGTATGATCCTGTAACTACTCCCAGCAAGAGACTGGATTTGGATGGAGGAAGAGGGACATTCCCAGCCTTCCTCTGTGTCAATAGGTTTTTGTTTTGTTTTGTTTTCATCTATGTGTTTGTGAGTGTGTGCGGAAAGCCAGAAGCACCTCTGTGTGGGAATCCAGAAACCCCATAGTCTCCCACTGAAGCTAGCCTTATAGATGTTGTGAGCCACACAATGTGGGTACTGGGAATCAAACTCCAGCACTATTCGAGAACAACACTAACCACTCAGCACTATCTCTCTGGCCCTCCAACTGGTTTCTTTAACGTGTTAACTCTGAAATTTCTGGGTAAGGCATTCCAGGCCTCACTCTCTACCTCATTCTATTTCAAAGTTACAGATAGTGTATGGTCTCAATGAGGATATCCCCCTCAAATCCACACATTGAAACTGTAACCTTCAAAAAAAAATGTCAATAGAAGGTAGCGCCTTTGCAACATGATTAGGTCATAAAGGCAGAGCCCCTCTCTCAGCCTTAGCACAGTCTTGCTTGAAATTCATGCGCCATAAGACCAAAGAGAAGGAAGAAGCAAATGTGCCCAAGGAAGAAAGATGAGGCAGAGGCCCAAGTGAGCCAGCCACACCCACAACCCACAAAGGCTGAAGGAGCAGAAGTAAGAGATGCTGAAGGCCGGGACACTCGCACAAGTCAATGGACTGTGTGCTGCTGGCCGTGTAAGTCTTGATAGACCTGGGACATCACCATCTGCTCACAGAGGCCACCTGAGAGATTTGACTGTCTACACTACAACCCAAGTAGTCTTGCGGGCCTCTGCCCTGGACCTGTGGCATTCTGGACTCATTCTGTTCTCATGTGTGGCCAAGTGTAACTCGAACACAATAAACCGTCTTTCTCACTGTCTCAGCTGAAGATTCAAATGAAAGGGAGAGAGAGAGACAAAGGCAGAGTCCTCATGGATGTGGAGGTTAACACTCCAGAGACAGAGGCAGGCAGGTCTCTGTGAATTTAAGGTTAAGTCTGACCTATACATATCTGGTTCCAAGCCAGCCAGGGCTACATAGTAAGACTTTGTCTTGATAAATAAACAAACAAACTTTTTAAAAAACAAAAAGTTTATAAAGAGCCAGGTATGTTGTACATGCTTATAATAACAGCACTTGGAAGGTGGAGGCAGGAGAATCAGGAGTTCAAAGCTCAGCTATCATACGAGTTCAAAGCTAGCCTGGACTATGTGTGACCCTCTCTCAAAAATTCCTAAGTGTAAATCAAGAAGCAGAAACAAGAAGATAGGGAGTTCAAAGCTAACCTAGACAATATAATGACAATATATATAGACAATATAGTAGCCAGGCTAGCCTGGGCTAGTGAGTGAGACCTGTCTGAGAAAATTTTTGATCTCATTTATAAAAAAATCCTATGATATTAACTCATTTTACAAACTTTAAGATGAGAATACAAGAGTAGTCACAAACAAAGGCTCACACTGCAAGACAGAGCTGTTCTATAGTTGGGACCCACCCATAGTTCAGTTTGATCCCAAAGTCCTATTCTTAGCTCTGACTAACTCAACCTCAGACTGGCTGGGTTCCCGCTGGGGCTATGCTGCTGACAGTTGGATAACCATGGCCAACTAATCACTGCTGACTCCAGTGTCCTTGCCTACAAAGTGCCAACTGTGTGATGAATACACTGTGGCAGCGTGGGGAGGAAAGGCGTGAGGAGGGGCCAAAGGATCAGAAAGTCTCTGCGGCTGTGGCAGCAGTCCCAAGACCAACTGTGGGTTCCTAAGCCAGTGTGGGATTTGGGGCAATGAAGTTTTAAAAAAAAATAAACAAAACCCTATGATTTCAGGAGACTGGGAACCTCATATTCTCTCTGCTTTAGGACCTGAATTTTCTACCTGAGATATTCATCCTTCTTTCACTGAATTCTACTGGCTGGTAAAGGTTCTGACAGCGAGCATTAGGTCACTCCCCATCCACGCTACTGTGAGCAGGCTGTGCTTTCCTTCCAACTGCTGTCAGGCAGATGACCTGAATGCTCTATGTGACTGACTGTTCTTTGCACTCCACTGACCTACCACATGACGAGCACACCCAAGGAAGCCCAACCAACAGCCAGGAGCGAAAGAGCCCTGCTCAGCCCAGTGTTAACTAGCAAAACTGTAGTCGATGCACAGCCAGGACTATGAAAATAAATGCCTGTTGTTATAGCAATGGAGATTGGACTGGGTTTGTTTGGCGCTTGTGTCACAGTATTATGTCCAGAGAAACTGACTGCAGCAAGCTTTTATAAGCTGTACCTGCTTCAGTGTTTGCTGCAGAAATGAGACCAGGTGAGGTGCCACTATCCCCTCCACTCACTCCCTGTGTCTGACCAATTGGAATCATACATTTGACTGTGGAAGATTTTGATGGATTTCTTCCTGCTGAGGATGGAGACCTGTCGGCTTTATAGCACCAAAGACTAGCACAGCACAGATGTAGGTGAACCATGGGTTGGTGGGTGTATCAGTGAGAAGGATGGGTAAGCCAGACTGGGAAATCTTCACCTACATGCATCTCCCCATTTCTTGGTGCCTAATTTTCAACCACACTAATTAAGTAACTCTGTGGAACAGTTTCCTCATTGGCCACAATTTCCTAAGAGACCTCAAACAGAAATAAATCCAACTCAGGCACTCTTAGGTTTCTGGCCCCCATAATGGAAGACATAATGAGTAAGTGTTGCTTTAAGCTGCTAGATTGTACAGTCATATATCACAGAGCATAGGTAAAGCCTGTATTCACTTTGAGGCCCAGTTCTCCAGGAGAAGGGTCTCACATCTTGGTCTGGTTCCTCTTGGGACTGCAGAGCCACCTCAGAGTCCAAAAGTCAAGACACAAACCACAGACGTGGAGCCAGGCTGCCTCTGTGCTCACAGGCTGTTTATTATCCAAGAGGAAGGAGGAGAGAGAGGAAGAGAAAACAGATGCCCCATGGGGCTCAGGGGAAAGTGAACAGAAAGGTTCCTCTTCTTCCTCTTGTCACTGACCCAGAAAACTCCAGCTGCAGAGATCTCAGGGGTGGCGTATGGGGCCTCCAGGAGGCCTGGCAGCTCTGCTGTTGGCTGGGGACAGAATCCCCACAGGGGGCAGGTCCCAGGGTCGGAATGGCTTCTGTGTACACAAAATATCTCTCTTCAAAAGGCACTGGTGGAGGCGAACAGTAGGAAGGCTGACCATCGCAAGCCACACCCACTGTCCCAGGTCTGAATCCCATACCCCAAGACCAAGCCGGCCTTCCTCAGGCTGGTCTCTGACGCCCGTGTTCCCCTCCTCTCCCTTCCCTCAGCCCAAAGATGAGTAGGCAGTCGGCAGAAGGACAAGTCAAGCCACGGGGTAAATGATCCTCTTCAGGGCTAGTGCCTCTGACGACTTCTAGGCCAAGAGCCCCAAGCGGGTGACTTTGGCGGAGAGGAAAGAGTGGATGATAAAGACCATAGTTTTCGGACATGAATGCAGGTCCAGCTGCTGCAGAATGAACAGAGAACAGGGTCAGGGGCTCTTTCCAGCCTGGCCTCCAGGATAGCATCCCCACCCCCAGGATGCAGAGGTGCCCCCCCCACTTACGATCTCTCCTTCAGCACCCCCAAAGTCCAAGAAAAGGAGACTCGTGCCATCATCTGATGACATCTGCAGCTTCTCGAAGGGCTGTCGGAGCAGCACTGCTCGGCCTGCTCCTGGCTCAGCTGCCCACAGTGTGAAGCCCTTGTCGATATGCACAGAGAGGTTACAGGGACGACCATTCCATGTGCAGGCTGCAGGAGAGCAGTGGACACAGGCTACTCTGAGACTACTTCAAAGACCACTCAACTTCAAAAGCAGCCCTAGAACCAGGCTTGATTTCCCCCAAATATGGGAGACTCACTCTATCGTGACACCTGAACAACCACCCTCCCAGTCACCGCTGTCCTAAAACACAGAAGAGCAGGCCTTCAGAGAACCCACAGCTGTATCCAGCACCACTTCGAGCACATGCGTTGGAGAAGCCTGGGCTGGAAGGTTCCATGGGAGAGGATTTAGCTATCAAGTACAAGGTCTTGGATTCAATTCTCAGCACAATAAAACAAACGAGAGTTCATTTCTGTGATGGACACAATTTATCCCATTAAGGCACAGGATTGCCTGGTTAAATTTAAATCTACAAAATTTAAAGTGGGTAATTTAGATTGACATATAAAAAACTATTCATTGTTTACCTGAAATTCAAAGCTAACTGTTATGCTATTTTTTTTTCCTTTTTAGTTTTTTGAGACAGGGTTTCTCTGTATTGCTTTGGAACCTGTCCTGGAACTCACTCTGTAGACCAGGCTGGCCTTGAACTCACAGAGATTCTCCTGCCTCTGCCTCCTGAGTGCTGGGATTAAAGGCATGAGCCATCAGCTCCCAGCTATCTTACCTATAGCCTCGACCCCAAGACAGGGTCTCACTATGCAGCCCTGGCTTGCCTGGAACTTGCTATGTAGACCAGACTGGCCTCAAACCCACAGAGATCCACCTGCCTTAGCCTCTCAAGTGCTAAAATTAAAGGAGCATGCCATCATGTATCCTCACTAGCAGGATCACAAGGATAACCTAAGAAAGACTCTAAGAAAAAATGTCTCCCTTCTTCCCAGAGCACTTGCATACCCCAAACAGGGACATCTTAAAAGGCCTAACCTCCATTAGTTATCCCCCTCCAGAAATGTCATACAGAAAAAAAAAAAACTTGAATGCCTCTAGGCACAAGAGGTTCCACCTGGCACACCTGTAGACACTTCTTGCACACCTTCGGCAGCCCGGTGACAGCCATCCACCAGCTGTCGGGTCCAGGCTGCCAGCTCTTGTGGTGACTCCACACTGAACAGGTGAGTGTCCACACCGTGACGGGTGCCCGTGCGCAGGGCAAAGGAGAGTTCTGCGTCATAGGGCACTGAGCCCTTGGAGGGGCCCGAGTGCACCAGCCTGTGTGCAGAGCAGAGGGTCAAGCATGAGTCTTTGAAGTAGGGTGGGGTGGGGCCAGGGCAATGACCTGCATCCTTCAGTGTCTTTCAGAGGACAGGAATTACACGGGGGTGTGTCGCCTCCATCTTCCCCTTACTCTTGCTTCAACCATAGCAGAGTCCTCACTCTTACTGTTCCCCCTGCCTGAATAATCCTCCCTCCCAACCCCCACATGGCTCATTCACACCCTGTAGATCTTTGATCAAATATTCCCTCCTCTGAGAAGATTTGTCTAAAATAGTTCCTTTGTCACTCACTAGCCTTACTTTTCATCCGGATTGCAGAAATTATGCATTTTGAATGTTGTTATTTGAACAGGGTCTCACTATGTAACCTTGGCTAGTCTGGAATTCACTATGTAGACCAGGCTGATCTTGAACTTGCCTTGAACCTCCAGCTTCTGACTCCTGAGTACTAGAATTAGAGGTACGTGCATGCCCCCACTCCCAAATGAAATTATATCTCTTACTTATTAGTTTCAGTAGGCTTTTGCCTTCTTCCCTAGAATGTCACTAAAGTAGTTTTTGTCTATTTTACAACACTATATTCCCAGCAATTTAAACATAGTGTCTGTTTAATAAATAACTGTCTTAATTAACAAGGCACTTGATTAGGCCGGCAATCCAAACCTGTCACTTGTCCACTGGCCCAGAACCTAATCCAGATTGAGGCGACATGGAACAAGGATCGCAGACCTTGCAGCTTGATTCTCATCTGCTGCTGTGGCCTTAGGCAGTTCACTGGTCCTCTCTGGCCAGCAGACCTCTAAGTGCTGGCCCTTAGCACACTCTGTTCCTCACTCTACCCATTCTGTTTCCCTTTAGAGCTTCTACTAAAGTCCCACACTCCAGCCCTGAGCCTCAGACCCAACAGTTCCCAAGCCTCTGAGCCACATTCCCTCTACTTCCCATATACATACATATATTCTGGACCTGACTCCGCATCTCGTTGAACCTCCTCCAAAGGCATCCTCACTCCAGACCCACAGCCCACACTAACACACACACTCCAAACCTCCTATTCATCCGGATGCCTCCTGCCCTCTCCCATCTGGCAAGCACTGAGCCTGTGAATTCCCACCCATGCACTTTCTACAGCAAATGCCACTGTTCTTCTCCATATGCTTCCTCCACCCCCTGCCTCCCTCAGCCCATGTCTCCCAAAGATGTGGCAGCCTCTCAGCTTCTGCCCTCCCCTCCCCAGTGGAAGTGCTCTGTGGCGGGCATGTCCTCGAAAACACAGCCGCAGCCTCCTGACTTAACCCCTCCAGCCCTGACTTAACCCCTCCAGCGACACTGCTGGGACTGGGGAGATGGCTCAGTGGGTGAAGCGCTTCCTGCTCAAGCATGTGGACCTGAGTTTGGGTCCCTAGCACCTGTGTAAGAGCAGGTGACAGACACCTGCAGCCCCAGTGCTAGGGGAAACTGAGACAGGGACCGCTGTCCTGTCAGTCTAGCCAAAACAAGCTCTGAGTTCAATGAGAGACCTTGTCTCTAAAAATAATAGGGTGTGGGCACGATGACACAGGCCTTTAATCCCAGCACTTAGAGGCAGTTCAAAGCCAGTTTGGTCCATGTTGCAAGTTCCAGACCAGCCATGGATACATAGTAAGATTCTGTTTCACAAAAGTTAATATGTATGTATGTACACACACACACATACACACACACACACACACACACACACACACACGGTAAAGACAAATGTGTTGGTTCATTTCTGAACCCTCAGGACTGGGGGTAGGGGTGCCAGAGCCAGATGAATCATGTGGGTTTAACAGCCAGCCAGTCTAGCCAAAAATAGCAACCTCTAGGTTTGGTGGGAGACAAAGTCTCAAAAAAAATAAGGTAGAGATAAATAGAGAAAGGTGTCTGGATATGACATCTGATTTCTATATTTGTATACACCTCACATGCATGCATGCACACACCAAATCCTGCTAACAGTGTTCCTTCACCAGACAGCAGCTCTATCTCTCTCCCCACCCCCAGTTCCCATGTGGAGTCTGCATCTGGTTCTGCCACAGTCACAGGTCATGAACATGCTCTGTACCTCTGGCCACAACTAAGGCACTCTACCATCCTTCCTTAAAAGTCACAGTTCTCATTCATCAAAGTCCATTTCAAATGCCACCCCCTCCTTAAGTCTTCCCTGGCCAAGCCAGACAGCTAAGTGTCTCCTGTAACCTTCAGTGTAATGGCTAGACATACATAATGGTTGTTCTGGGTCTGTCTCCTGACTCTGGATTCTCCCTGAGGGCAGCAACTGTTCATGTCAACTCTGTGTCCCCTGAACCATGCAGTACAAGATGTAGGTGTCAGTAACTGAGTGACAGATAGCACTCCACATTTTTCTGCTCTGAGCCTCAACTTTGCAAATGAGGGAAACTGTGGCTCTAAGGAGCAGGGTTTGCTTCAGGTCTCCCGGGAAATATCTGGGGACAGAACAACACTGGGGCTTGTGGCTTCTGGAGCCCATCTGGAATACCATCCTCCCAAGTCTGAGTATAACACTACGTGCAACCCAGTGCCCCTGTTCTTTGGTACCTGGTGGCAATGAGCGGTGCAGTACGAGCTGGCCTGCTCAGGGCCTCTCGAGTCTGGGGGAGAGAGCAGTAGAGGAGCAGCTCCTTCTCTGTCAGCAGGGCCAGGGTTGGGGCTGTACCTCCACTGGGCAACTGCAAGCAAAATGGTAATGAGGAGGGATGGAAGGAAAGCCATCGAAGGGCAGGGAGGGCAGGGGGTGATAAGGGGTGACAGAAATGGGGCCCAGCAAGCACCTGTTCTGTCAGCCAGCCAATCTGCTTGATGTCCTGGCTCCCAGCTGTACCTGTGGCTGTCAGCAGTGCCTGCAGCTCGTCCTTGACCCAAGGTATGAAAGTGCTGATCTGGGCTTGGATGGCACCTGCCCATGACCTTGCACTGGCCTCATCCTTGGCCCTCAAGAAGAGAGTGTCCTGGCCATCTGCTGCCCAGATCTCCAGATACCTGAAAGCGCAATGGGATAAAAGATAGGACATGTCACTGGCCAGCTATCCAACCCAAACATCTAGTCCAAGAAACCCACCCACTGCCAAACTTGAAGACATCACACAGGGTGTCCATGAGAGACGAGGACTGTGTTTGTTGCTAGAATCCCAGCCACGGGTGTTAAAACCTCACAGGATCTGGGGACAAGAAGCTACAACTTACACATACATACACAAATTTCTAGGTGACCACTCAAACATGTGCCAGGAGCCATAGTTACAGCATAAGGACCCAATACCCTTTTATCCTGGCTTCTATGAAAGGTTCCTGCTGAGCTAGTTTTTCGGGCCTCCCTGTTGCCTAGAATCTAAGGCATTTGTCTACTAATAGGAAAAAGATATGAATAATCTTACGAGACCAAGTTTACCTATAATAAATACTTGGGCCAAGTGGTGCACAGTTGTAATCAAATCAGGCTGAGGCAGGCAAGAACAGACTAAAGAGATCATCAGGAAAGAAAAGAGAAGGGAAAGGAAGGGAAGAGAAGAAAGAAAAAAGGAAAGGAAAGAAACCAAACGAAAAGAAAAGCAGCCAGGCAGTGTTGGCACACCCCTTTAATCCCAGCACTTGGGAGACAGACACAGGTGTATCTCTGTGAGTTCAAGGCCAGCCTACAGAACAAGGTCCAGAGAAAGCTACAAAGAAATCTTGTCTTGAAAAAAAAAAGAAGAAGAAAAGAAAAAGAAAAATGAGAAGCATACAGGTGTGGTGGCTCCCATATGAATATCAGCACTTGGGAGACTGAGGCAGAATGATCAGAAGTTCAAAATTATCACCAGAGCAGTCAAGATGGCTCCGTGGGTAGAAGCACTTGCAGCCAAGTCCTACAACCTGATTCCTGAGACCAACTCCTAAAAGTTGTCCTCTGACCACCATACATGCACTGTGGCATGTGCACATGTATGCACACACAAAATAAATAAACAAATACACAAATACATAAATGTAAATCAAAAATTTTAAAGACTGAAATACCTAAACTATACAGACCCTGTCTCAAAAGAAAAAAAAAAAAAACCCAGCTTGAGAAAGGAGAGAAAAGAAACAAAACAAAAAGCCATGCCATCAAGTATGGAGGGAGAGCTCCAGGGAAGAGCAACGGTGGTACAGGAAAGGTTTTCCAAAATGTTTTGTGTTCCATTAAAGATTCACTCCCCTTTGGATTTCTGTACTACGTGGAATACGGCAGCCTTACCCCCGCCTCCCTCTACTGCAGAACTAAAAGCAAAGGACTTGAGTTCATGTCTTCCCTTGCAGTTCTGCCAGTCACATGACCCGGTTCCAATCAAAAGTAAACCTTTCCAAAGACACACTCCACCAAATCCACCCTTCCCTATACACATCAGCTACTTCTCCCAGTACAAGGATGAAATTCAAAATACCAGATGTGGTAGTACATCCTGTAATCACACCACTAGTAAACTGAAAACAGGAGGATCGGAAGCTCAAGGTCCTCCTGGGCTACACAGCAAAATTAAGAATAGCTCTGGCTATTTGAGACGCTTTCTTAAGCAGAAAAAAGAGAACCAGGACTGGAAGCCAGGGCTCCTCCCTAAACCAAGTTCCTGCTCACCTGTTAATGCCCCAGAGGAAGAAGAAGAGACAGAGGGAAATGGTGGCGCCCACCTTTGATCCCAGCACTCAGGAGACAGAGGCAGGCAGATCTCTGTGAGGCCAACCCGGTCTACAGAGTGAGTTCCAAGGCAGCCAGGGCTACAGAGAAACACTGTCTTGAGGGAGGGAGGGAGGGAGAAAAAGAGAGAGAGAGAGAGAGAGAAAGAGAGAGAGAGAGAGAGAGATTGGAGAAAACAAGCAATGCATACCATCACACTAGAGTTAAATCGTGCATCCATTTGACCCAGTTGTGAAACCCCTGCTTCATGCCATCATGGATGCTGGTATCAGTTTGTCACTTATATACAACACAGATATTTTTCATTTGCATTATCTGAGTGCCTCCCCACTCCAGCCTCACCTGGGTTCCGGGTCAGTGGGAGTGCACCTCCTCGAGACATATGCCATCTTCAAGGATATGTGTTTGGCCTCATTGAGGTTCCAGGGCTGGGGGCCAGGGGAAGAAGGCTGACGCTGAAGAGGCGAGGCAGGAGGTGAGTCCCAGCCGACCGAGGTCCCGCCAGCAGAATTCTTGAAATGCGGTGAGACCTCCTTCATGTACTTAACTGGCAGGAAGAGAGGCCACCTGTTACCATTGCTTCATGAACTTCATGTAGCACATATCACAATTGTCCCTAGTTAATAAAAGCTTTCTTTATGGGGCTGGAGAGATGGCCCAGTGGTTAAGAGCACTTGCTGCTCTTCCAAAGGACCTAGATTCTATTCCCTGCACCCACATGGAAGCTCACAAGTGTCTCTACCTCCAGTTACAAGGAATCCAATGCCCTCTTCTGACATCAGTGGGTCATTCATGCACATGGTACACAAACATATATGCAGGCAAAATACTCAAAACATAAAATAATATAATAAAAATAATTTTAAAAAAATAGGTAGTGCTGTCCAGTTTGAATATACATAAACAGATGCAATTATCTCAGAATTTCTAACATCGGACTTGGAACTCTCACCTAAACATAACATTTCAACTATCAGGTATAGGTAAACACACACACACACACACACACACACACAAAACATTTTAAAATTTTAAAAATTATGTTTTAAAGCAAGACATCTTCCAGGCATGGTGACATCAGCTATCTATAATCCTAGATATTGAGGAGGCTGAGGCAGACATGTCAGGAGTTGAGGCCAGCCTGAGTGATTTAGACCCCACCTCGATAATTCAAGCCCAGCCTGATCTACAGAGTAAGTTCCAAGACACAGAGAAACACTTTCTCAAAAAAAAAAAAAAAAAAAAAAAAAAAAAAAAACCTAAATAAATAAAATAAACCAAATGTGTAGCACATGACTGTAAGCCAAGCATTTGAGAGGTAGAAAAAGAAAAATCCAGAGTTTGAGAATAGCCTGGGCCACACAAGCCCATCTCTTCAAAAAAAAAAAAAAATGTGGGGGATGACTCCAGCAGAATACTTGTCTTGCTTGTTCAAATCCCTGAGTTTAATCCTTGGTACAAAAAGAAGGAGGAGGAGGAGAAAGCAATGGAAGGGAGTAAGAAATGGAGACAGAGTTGTTTGATGGTTCACACCTGTAATCCTAGCACTTGGGAAAGTCTAAGGCAATTGAATTGTCAAGAGTTCTAGGCTAGCCTGAGCTACAGAAGTAGGCCCTATCTCAAATGACTAAAAATGAAAAAAAAAAAAGCTAAGGAATTCAGCTTTAGTTCAGGGGTTATGTGTGACACTAGAGTCTGGGTCACTGCCACAGCCACAGGAGGGCTGCCAACGCTCAAGTCAGTCATCCCTTATGTCACAAAATACAAAGCTAGTAGAGAGGAGACAGGCCGCTTCCTTGCACCTGTCTAACAGGTGCCTGTGGAGGCCAGAGGTGTTGGATCCCCTGGAGCTGAAGTCACGGGTGGTTATGAGAAGCTTTCTGTGGTTGCTGGGAACCCAACTCTGATCCTCTGAGGTCAGTGTTCCCACCACTGTAAGGGCAAGAACTTCATGTGACTCATCTATGTCCTCAGAATCCGGCTGGCTTCTCATATGCTACATGCTCAGCAAATGAACATTTGTCAACTCTGAAGCCAAAGAAACCATTAGAGTCACCGCTCGTCTGGCTGTCCCAGAACCAGGTCATCTGTCTCCATTCCCACAGGAACATATTATAAATGAGGAGCATTCCAGCTGGTGCCAGAAACAGGCCTTGGATTTCACAGACCAAGTGGCCTTTCCCTGAATGAGGGTGGAAACCTGGAGGCCCCAGAGTTTGCCCATAAATAGCCCAGTTACAAAGTTGCCTCCCATTCTAATTTCTGCCTGACTCATTTGAGCAGATAGGGCGGGACTGTCTACAGACTATGGCCTCCAGAACTGAGGGAGATGACTATGGCTGGTGGCCATGATCATGGAATCTATGAAGTTAGGCCCAGCCACAGTCCACATTCTCCCCAGGCAAGTCTCTGGCCCAGAAGCCTGGTAAAGCTCACACAGGAAGCTAAGGACAGTGAAGGAAGCCAGAGGTGAGCTGTGGCCCCAGGACACGGGAAGAGATTCCACTCAAAGCATTCCACTAAATTCTACAATAGAGCAAGGCCATACCCCTGCCCAGTTTATCTAAGAGTGCAGGGTCTCATGTGTCTGAGAGGAGTCATTTGTTTTGGCTCAACGCAAAAATGTTCAGAATGCATCCCAGGGCTCAGTAAGTGCCTGTGACTAAATGTCCTGGCCTGGAATCTTGGAAAATCTGTTGGCTAGGATCAACTTGTTCCCTGTCTATTCAGAGTGGGTGGTTACTTCCCCTGTTGAAATTATACTATGGACTTATCTTTTTACTAATCTAAGGCCTCTCTACTCTAACCCAAATGTCAACACTGTGAACAGAAGAGCCCTATCGCATTTTTCAGGGCACACCCAGCTTCTACTACAGCATTTGACACTAGGTAGCAGAAGAATAACACAAACCAAGTGTGGTAATGCATGCCCGAGATCCCAGCACTAGGGGCCGTGGCATGGAAGAGCCACATCAAAAACCACACAGGCGGGGCAAACCCTTTAATCCCAGCACTCAGGAGGCAGAGGCAGGCAGATCTCTGAGTTTGAGGCCAGTCTGGTGTATGAAACAAGTTCCAGGACAGCCAGGACTGTTACACTGACAGACCCGTCACTAAAGCTGGCTGGCTGCAGGACCTGACTGGAAAGAAACTCCAGCAACAGAGGTTTACTTATGAAGATGAGCCAATGCCTCCAGGTCACTGAGAGTTAAGGTTTCTTGATACAAGTGGCTGACATGTGTTGAGCATGTCCTGTGTGTTCAGTTCCATGTGTACAGTATACATAGATGTATTAGTTTAATTCTCACAGTAGCAATTCTGTGAGGTTTTTCACTTTATATGGGTATGGTAGGACACACCTGTAATCTCTGCACTGCAGAAGTCAGGGGGATTGTGGTGCACTTGGGAGGCAGAGGCAGGCAGATCAGTGAATTTGAGGCCAGCCTGATCTACAAAGTGGGTTCCAGGATTATTACACAGAGAAACCCTCTCTCAAAAAAAAAACAAGGCAAAAAACCAACCAACCAACTAACCAACCAACCAAAAATAAATAAATAAATAAGGAAAAAAAGACACGAGTATATATTAGCATGTAAATAAATGTTCATAATAACAGAAATTATTATTTTTAATTATGTGTATGTATGTGTACATGCATGTGACTGCATGTGCCTTCAGCGGCCACAAGAGGGTGGTCCCCTCTTCTTAGCTGTGGTTAACAATGTGAGCAGCCTGCTGTGGGTGACGGAAACTGAGCTGCAGCTGTCTGCAGGAGCTTTCCTAGTCACTGAGACATCTCTAGCTCTGAGAATGAGTAATGTTTTTCAAGTACTGCAGCTAAGAAGACTCTGACTCCAACTGAACTGATTTCTATCTAGTTACAGAGGTCACTATTGCCTCAGTCTTGGATTATACTGTCTGCCATGCTTTTTCCCTCCTGAAATTAAAGAATAATGTATGCAGGCCGGTGATGGTAGCAAATGTTTTAATCCCAGCACTAGGAGGAAGGGGGCTGCAAAGCCAGGCAGATCTCTGAGTTTGAGGCCAGCCTGGTCCACAGAGCAAGTTCTAGGACAGCCAGAGCTACACAGAGAAACCTTGTCTCAAACCCTCCCCAAAACAGAGTAATTCATGTAAAGCCAAAGCTAGCCCATTGGTCAGGATGACACAGTGCATTTCAAGCATCTAGGGTAGACGCTCTTTTTCCCTCAGTGCTGGGAATCAAACCCAGGGCCTCACAGCCAGGGACACACAGAGAAACACTATCTCAAAAACAAAACCCAGGTCCTCATGTATGACTGGCAAGTACTGTACCACTGAGCTATTCCTCCAACCTAGACGGTCTCTGAGAGCAGAAGCCATTGTATACTTCTGAGCCCTACTGCCTCCTCTAGGTGTGGCACTGAGCTCTGTACATCTTGGATCTTGAGAATATGTGAGGTTTGATATCAGGGGGTATGTCCCTGATCTTTTGTACTTTCTTGACAATGTTCCTAATTGCTAGTGTCATTCCTAAATCTTTAAGAATTTCTCCTGGCTCATTATGGCTTGTGAAATTTAATGTTTTCTGTTATGGGTCCTTGGAACTCTGAGGCCAGCCAACTCTGGTTGCTCCTCTAGGAGATAGACACTATGTATCCCATGTGATTTGGCTGCACGTTTTAACAGTTTTAAAGTGGATGTAGTTAATTTGGGGTTCCCTATTCAGCTGAGCTGACTGTTCTGTGCCCCTTAGGTGCCAGAGGGACTTCTGTGCCTGGAACAGACATAAATGGAACCCCTGTCTAGGACTCCCATAAATGCAAAAGACTTGTTATTCTGGCCATTGTCCTCAAGGAGACATTTTTTTGGCTACACACACATAACTTTGGATCATGTGACTCCCCACAGACAAAACTTGGCTTAATCCAACCCTGGCCTGATCTGCAGAACTCAATTGAAATGCCTGTGGGTATTTCCAGTGAGATGGCTCAATAGGTAAAGGCACTCACTGCCAAACCTAATGACCTGAGCTCAGTCTCCACTGCTGGAGGAAGAGAACTGACTGGTGTAAGTTCTTCCTGACCTCTGCACACACGCGTTCATACACATAAACATGCACACAATAAATAAAATTTAATAAAAAATAATTAGGGCTGGAAAGTAGTACAGTGGCAGTGCTTACTTTCCAAAACCATCACCTCCCCCACAAACAAAACAAACAGAAAAACTCTGTGTCTTTAGACACAGTTGCCCGCCTGGTCTAATTGTGAGTTCCAGGCAAGGCAGGGCTACAGAGTGAAACCCTTTCTTAATAAACAACAAAAACAACTCTTTCTCCCATTATTACGATCCTAAAACTCAGGCTGGGAGGTGGTGGCATCCACTTTAATGCCAGCACAAGGGAGGCAGTGGCAGAGGCCAGAGGATCTCTGTGAATTCAAGGCCAGTCGGGTCTACAAAACAAGTTCCAGGTCAACTAGGATTCTGTTTCACAGAGAAACCCTGTCTCCAAAAACCAAAAAGATCCAATACTTGAGGGCCAGTGAGGCCAGTGAGGCCAGTGAT